CCGAGGGACGCGCACAGCTGGCCCTCTGCTCACACGCCGTCCACGGTGGTGCCGTTTTTCGTGCCGTCACAGAGTCTCTGTATTGAAAGAGTGTTCCCTAACCCGCCGTGCAGATACGGCTATGTGACCAACTCCAAGGTGAAGTTCGTCATGGTGGTGGACTCCTCCAACACGGCGCTTCGAGACAACGAGATCCGCAGTGTAAGTGCGCGGCGTCTCAGGATGTTCTTGGGCTCGTGCGTTTTCTCTCTTTTCGCTTTGTTTCCAAATGCCGAGAAGCCAGGGTTTCGGCAGCTGCAGCGTGTGCACGTGAATTAACACCATCGATTCCTTCTCAGATGTTCCGGAAGCTGCACAATTCCTATACAGATGTGATGTGCAACCCTTTCTACAACCCTGGGGACCGTATTCAGTCCAGGTGAGCTGACTGCCGTGTGGACGCTGCCTTGCGAAAAGCTGCGATTCTGAACGTGAGGGAGGGAAGGTCGATTTCAGCCACGGGCCTTGTTCCTCCGAGGAGTGGTTCTGACGCAGCAGAACCTGGTTTTCCAGTAATCACCACGTGGATTCCGACATGTGAGAAGAGGATGGGGGAGCAGGCCAGGGCACGGACCCTGCCCTCTTGGTTTCCCGCGTATGCCCAGTAAGTCCTGGGGCACCTCCGCGGAACCCCCACACAAAGACTTGGTCTTCGGTGTCAAACTGGGACGGTTAGGAGATGGGGTCGCAGGTATGATCCACACAGGTCTCGAGTCGATGCAGATGGGACATTAGCACGTCACAAAGATGCTTTATAAAGAAGCATTCACGTGCACACGGTCCAGATCCACCCCTGGGAATTCCCTGTGTTCCTAGACACGGTTCCTGGGGGGCTCCTCGTAGCCGTCAGGCGGGAGGACCCTGCAGAGACCCAGGCCGGGCCCTTCCCGTGGTGCCTCCCCTCAGCCCCGACACTGTGTCTCCCGGGCTGTGCGGGACAGGGACCGCCGTTAGCCGTCCTTGCTGTACCGTGGCCCTGTGAACCCACACCGCAGCCCCGCACCCCTTCCTGGAGCCCCATCCAGGGCAGGGCCGTGAGGCAGGAGGAGGTGGGAGACTTCGGTTCTCATCGCCTGGCCTCGAGGCCGCGTTCACTGGACTTTGGAGGACTCCTCCGGTCCGGGGGTGCAGAGCCCGGTCCGCTTCTCCGAATCGGTCTGTTTCTTTGCAGGGCCTTTGACAGCATGGTGACGTCTATGATGATACAAGTGTGTTGAGCCAGAACTCAGCGGCCGTTGCTTGAAGACAAGCACTGTGTATATAAGCCATCGTCCAGATGGATGTTTATCATCCCGTGCCTGTTCCTGAGCGTCCCTGCTGCTGGGGGCAAGGCCTCGGGCACGGTGCGTGGAGACTAAAGGTCTTCTGAGATCACGTTTGGTGTTTTCCTTGTGTCAGCAGAGGCTCCGGCGGAAGAGCGTGTCTCGCGGCACTTTTGAGGCTGGCGCAGAGGTCAGGGACCAGCGCCGGGACAAGGGGGCGGGGAGAGCGGGTGAGGGAGCCCACGGACCTTGGGGCCCTGCGGGGGCTGCAGCTGTGGGGCCGCAGAGACGGGAGCGCCTCGCGGCCGGCCTCCGCTGGCTGACCGGGAGGGGTGGTCTGTGGGGGCAGGCCTCCTGTGCCCAGGGCCAGCTCTAGAGGGGCTCCCGGAGAGCCCACGCACCCTCCGCTGCCTTCATCTTTCTGGACTCGTGCCTGGCCTCAGGAGGGAGGGAGCTGCTCTCAGCTCGTCAACTGCCGCCTGCTTTCTGAGCACCGAGTGAGCCGGGGGGGGGGGGGGGGGTATGCTTGTGCAGCACCCGATGGGATGGGGTTTCTGCCACGTGCTCCCCCAGAAGCCTGCTCTGTCAAGTCCAGATGGCAGTCCTAACTGGTTGACTGTGACTGAGGGGACATTGCCATCCGGGATCAGGCGGCCCCGGCCCTGGCACCCTTCGTCATCTGGCAACAAGGACCCGCGGGGTCTGAGCCCCACCGCCCGGTCTGCTCTGTGCTGTCGTCAGTGCCCTGGCTTCGAGCCGGGTGCCCCGGGCCAGCCGTGATCCCTCCCTCCCTCCTCAGTCGCTCCGGAGAAGGGGTCTGCCGAGGAGCAGGGCCACCCGGACCCCCTGGGGAATGGCGGAGGCCGTTAGCACCGGGATGGGACCGGGAGGTGAGCCTTCCCTTCTACGGAACGCGGGACTCGTTTTTCAAATTACAGAGGTAGAGGGAAAAAAGTCAACAAGTGTGTATTGAAAACACAAGTGCCAGCCCAGCACCTTCCGCTGCAGGTGGAACCAGGGGATGGGGAGGAGGCCGGAGAAGCAGCCACAAGCAGCCGCTGGCTGAGCTTTTGGAGGTGATTGCTCCTGCCTGCGTAGCGGCTGTGGTAGAGCCTGCAGGTAGCTGGCTTGCCTCCTTACTAACCAAGCCCCAGTGTTATTGGGTACAGTTGACCGGACAGAAGAGATTTCCTACTGTTTGTAGCACTCCAGGACAGGTAGTTGTGGAATGTGAGTGGGTGGTGTTGGGAGGGACTTGCAGGAAGGATACTTTGAAGGGGGATTCAGCTAGCAGATGGAGTACCCTTCCTTCATCCTTTCCCTTCCTCCTGCCTGGAACTCGGACGTGATGGCTGGAGCTAAGGCAGCCATCTTGAGAGCATGAAGAAAAGATGCCTTTCCTAAAGATGGAGAGCAGAAAGCTAGAAGGAACATGGTCTTTATTGACATGGCCCTGGATTACTTATAGTCAGCATTTCGTAGAGGAAAATAAACGATCTTGTTGAAGCTACTGCTATTTGAGTTTTTTGGTAGGTGCAGCCAGACCAACCCCTGTACCCACTTTACATTCAGGAGTTTTTGTGCACATTGTTAGGCAGCATCCCCACTTGAAGTCTGAGAAAAGCAAGGGTCAGAGGTAACGTGTTAGCCCTCGTGCTGCCAATAGAACGGTCCTGGGGTGGCTTCATACCGTCTTTCTGCATCTCTTTGCCTTGAGGCTAGCCTCCTTGTGGGCCACCCGCCTGCCCGTCCGGCTGCCTTAGAGCTGGGCCCCATCAGGTGCAGCTCCCAGTCAGCCCTTAGCCACCGTTCAGGTGATTTGTCTCTGTCCTTCCTTCTGCCCCAGACCAGACGGGAGCAGAGGGAGCCTGTGCCTCTCCGCGTCCTCTGGGCACAGCCACACAAGTCTGCTCAGCGGCTCACTGCTTGGAGCCCTTGCTGCCTGCGTCGCCACGACAGGAGTGCTCTCCGCCCTCCTTCCGCCATGGTCTGCTTGGGCCTAAAACCCCTGGGAAACGCGGGGCTCCGAGGCCCGCTCTCTCCTCAGAGTGGCCACACGGAAGCGATCAGCTGTGGCTAGAAGACCACCGCGTGCATGATGGAGCGCGTCAGGACGGCGGCAGATGCCCCTGGCCGAGGAGAGGGGCGGCCCCTGGGTGCCCAGCAGGTGGGGGCTGGTGTCATCTGCCCTTGCTACGCAAACCTCCCTGCCCAGGGCGGGGGGGGGGGGGGCCATGCCTCCTGACCGCAAGTGGCCCAGGCCGCACAGACTCCAGGGCCTTGTGGCCCTGGCCTGACATTCAGCCCCTCCTACCTACCTTCTCATGGGGGAGCAGCGGGGGCGGGGTGGGGTAGAGAACAGAGAAACGTACCCCCTCCTGGTTCCGGAGGCCAGAGTCGGATCTGGTGTCGTCGGGGCCGATTCCTCCCAGAGGTCCTGAGGGAGGGTCTGGCCCATGCCTCCAGCTTCTGATGGCCACCAGCGATTCCTGGGGGTCCTCACCTTGTACAGCACCACACTCCGACCTCTGCGGCTGTCTCCACACCGGGTCTGCGTGTGGCTCCTTGGACCGAGGGCCCACCCAGGTGATCTCGAATGACGTGGGCAGCTTTCACTTAATCACACCTGCAATGACCCTTTTTCCAAATGTGGTCACGTTCATAGGTTCTGGAAATGAGGATGTGGACACGTTTTTTTAAGGGCACGTTATTCACCCCACCCAAGGGTCAGATTTGACCCCAGATCACAGGGGTAGTGCGAGCCTGGCCTGAGGCAGCCAGAGACAAATGTGGGTGGAGAGCCAAGAGAGGGCCTGCTCCGCCCCCAACTGTGGGCCGAGCACCGAGCAGCAGCTCTGTTCCTGGCTTAAGGGATTGATAGGTCAGGCACGGCAAGGGGCCCAGTCCCTTTAGAAAAGCCCAGGGAGGGGTTCTTTGGCAGCGGCAGCACCAAGTGTGTTTGCTCTCCCAGCCCCGCAAAGGGTAGAGAACCTGCGGCGCCCTCCCGAGCAGGCGGGGTGTGTCTGCACAGAGGGGCCACAGTCAGAGCGCCCCGCGTGGGAAACCCCTTCCGCTTCCCCGGCCTCTGACCAGGGCCGGGCCTGTGCCCGGCATCCAACGTGCGCGCCCGCCCTCCGCGCCTCACGGTTGCCTGCCACCTACTGCGGGGGGCGCGCCCTGCACGCCACCGGGGCCTGGTGGCTCCGGCTCCAGCTCCCGGGTGGCACGGGGCTGGGTACGGGGCTGTGAAGTGGGATAGAGCCCGGCCTCGGACCCATCCCCCGCCTTTGGCGGTCAGACCTGCACCTGCGCCCGAGGAGGCGAATAAAGGCAAGGCCTGTCGTGTGCTTTTAAAAATTATTCAAATTTAATTTACTCTTTGCGGTTGAGACACGTTTCTACTTTTCTTTAAAACGACTTAGCCCCGAGCTGACTCAGCGCCGCCTGCCGGAGGCTTTGCCCAGCGCCTTCCAAAGCCCCGAGTAGCCCTCCGCGCCAGCCGCAGCCCCCACCCCCGTGCCCTGCTTCATGCGAGACACGTTTTTGGCTCCGGCTGCGGGGTCTGGGCCGCGCGGTGGGAGGCCCTGGACCGTGAAGGGGACAGAGCAGTTACTCTGCGCTGAATAAACGGCCCCGCCCAGAGCACGGCCCTTTACTCTCGACCCACCCCAGCCCCACTCTCAAAATCGGATCCTCCCTTCAATACGGTGAATACCAAGGTGAAAACCGTCCACGGCCCCTGCATAGAGAGAAGCGGAGGTGAGCTCTGCCCCCCGCCACGGCTTCTCCTCCCAGGCCCCGCCCGCCGGCTCCTCTCGGCCCCGCCCACTGACCACATCCCGGTCCGGCCCACAGGGCCCCTTCCCCGGGCCCCGCCCACCGGCCACGCCTCGCCCACGGGCCCCTCCCGGGCCCCGCCCCCCGCCCGCGGCCCCCGCCCACCGGTTCCGCCCCCGAGGTCGGAAGCGGGCCCCGCCCTGGAGGCTGCTGCGGGGGAACGGTCCTCCTCTGGCGCCTGGCTGTCCTCGGAAGCCCCCGCGGTCGGTAGAGCTGATCCCCGGCAAGTTGGTCCTTTTGGGCAGCACCTGAAACCAAAGTCTGAGTCCCTCTGAGACCCCTGTCCTTGGACCCTTCTCCGCCGCGCAGCCTGAATCCAGCCCAGGCCAGAGCCCGGGGCTGACGCTGCCTTCGGGAAACCCCGGATTTCTCTGCTGGAGGCTCACAGGCAGGTGTGCACAGGCCCCAGCGCCCGCCAGCCCTGGCGGCGGTAATTACAGACCCACAGCTAACCTGTTCCCTGCCAACCTTCTCAAAATCACCACTTAGGCCTGAACTGTCCAGCCACAGACGGGGTCAGGTGACGTGCCCCTGTCAGCCCAGCATCTCGCAAAGGTCCAGCTGGGGAAGGGGGCCTCCCAATGCCACATGCAGTCCGGAGGCAACCGCCGCCCCTGCGGCCCGGCCGATGTGCCCAGAGACACTTGGGGGTTGGAGAAGGGTCGTCTTGGCTTCCCTGTGCTTGCGTTTTCCTGGTTCCTCGGGGATTAACGGGTTAAAGTGAAGAAGCTCACAGCAGAGTTTTAGGGGACGCACCTTGATGACTCGGCCTCGGAAGATGCTCTTGTCCAACGCCACCGCGGCCTGGGCTGAGCTCTCGGCAGCGAACTCTATGTAGGCGTAGCTGGGGTGGGTGGGCATGGCGGGTGAGGGCCACCCCGAGGTACCCAGGCTCCCCAGGACCCCAGGGCGCCCCGCCCCTCCGGGGGCCTCCTCCCTGAGCCCCCTCCCTGAGCCCCCTCCCCCACCCCCATGGCCTGCCTGGCACTGACCCCTTGGGGTGTCCAGAGAACTTGTCGCATAGGATGGTGACCCGGTGAACCTCCCCGCAGGAGTTGAAGTAGGCTTCTAGCTCCTCAGCTGTGCCCCCATAGTCCACCTGCCACAGGTACGGGCCTCTGGTGTGGGGAGGCCTCACCCTCCTGGGGTCTCCCACAGCAGGTTTTCTTGGTAGCAGAGGTCTCTGTCCCCCACCCCTGTTGGGGATGGACCGGAGACAAAGACGTACGCCCCCCGTGTGTTGGGCGAACCCCCAGGTTTATTTGGCCTGTCCAGAGAGCACGTGGCTTTTAAAAGTGGAATCTGTTGCCAATGATTGGCCGAGTGGAGATTTCAGGTGGAAACCCTGACTCCCGGGTCATGCTGGGAAAGCAGGATGTGAGGACACGGGGCCCAGGTTCCCTCTGGGGGGCAGCCCTCTGGCTTCTCTCCTCCTGGACCTGTGTGCCTTCCTTTAACCCCACGGCCAGGAGGAGGTGGCAAACCCCAAGAGGTCCCATCTTGCCCCCTCCCTGACTCACATTCCCCACATAGACGGATCTGTGGTCGGACTCCAGCTGCTCCGTGGGGGGCCCAGGGCAGGTGCAACCTACAGAGAGGGGGGCCTCAGCACAGCGGGTCTCCCTGCCGGCAAGAGGGGGGCGCTCCCGGCAGGCGCCTCACATTTGTGGCTCATTCCTCACTGCTTGTGGGAAGAGGGTCACCCCTTGGGACTGTTCCGGCAGGGCCGCTGCCCGGCCCGACGCAGAGACCCTCAGACCCTCGCCGTGAGCTGGCACTAGGGGCTCAGAGCCGCGTGCCCGACGACTGGTGGCCCACCGCCAGGGGAGGGGCTGGCCCGGCCCCCTGGCTCCTACCTGCCTCGGGGCTCAGCAGCTGCCTGGCCGGTGTGGCCCCCGCGCCCTCCTCCCGTCCCGCCTGGCCCTGCGCCCCAGGCGGCTCCGGTCCTTGGGCCTGTTCCATGGCCCACAGCTTCACTTTGACGGCCTCCAGCTCCTGCCAGCAGGACCCCACACTGAGCCCAGAGGCAGGGTGGCCCCTGGGCTCCTCTTGGGGAGAGGAGGGAGCAGGCCTGACCGTGCCCGTCCTCAGGGTCCCTGGCTACTCAGGGACAGGCTGGGGGGGGGAGGGGTCCCGGAACGGGACTGGGAAGGCCATGTGGACTCGGGCCCTGCCATCCTACCCAGGCTTGCAGGGGTGGGCAGCCCCCCTACCCTCTTCTAGGCAGGGGGACAGTGGCCCGGGAAAGGTCCGAGCTGCAGCCGTGGGTCCCCTTGAATCCAGGTCCTGGCCAGCCTCCACTTGGCTCCACGTGGGTGTTACCTGGTCACGTTCCGGGTACTCGGCCAGCTCCTCCCCCTCCAAGAGAGACAGGGGGAAGCCTGCATCTTCGGGGTCATTCTCCGCTTCCCCTGGCTCCCCCTCCTTCCTGTCCCCACTCCCTGGCTCCAGAGGGGGCTTCTCGGCCCTGCCCCAGGCCCCCCAGCCCTGGGCCTCAGGGTCCGAGGAAGCCCTTTGCAGCCAGGCCTGGGTCGGGGGTGGGAAGAGAGCGTGGCTGAGGAAGGGCCACATGGGCGGGTCGAGGGGCAGGCGGACGAGGCCTCCCTGGCTGCTCACCTCCACGCTAGCACCTGCCCTCACCCGCCCAGGGTTTTAAGCCCCTCACCAGGCCAGCTGCTTCCACTAGAGTGCTTAAAAGGCTTCCCACAGGGCTGAACTTCCAGCCCCCGCTTCTGGGCCAGCCCCTTCTCCCTCACCCGGGCCGATGCCCCCCGTTGGGGACAGAAGAGGGCTCCGCCTGCAAGGGCTTGCCACGCTCACTGCACCTGCTCAGGCTAGCAGCCCACAGGAAGGATGGCACGTGGGAGAAGGGGGTGCTTCCTGGAGGAGACGGTGTTTGGGCCAGCCTAGAGGGACTGGGGGCAGAGCTAGGGCAGAGGATTGCATGGGCATGGGGCCCGGCGTGAGCAAAGACCTGGAGCAGGGAGGACAGGGTGTATGCCACAGGGCAGGGCCCGGCCCCTCCTCTTGACCCTCCATCGATTCCCCGCAGACGCTCCCCTCTCGCACCCCTCTCTGGGCCAGCTTGTGGGTGGGAGCCGCTCACAGGAGGCCAGAGTCCCGTCCTGGCCACAGGGCCTAAGGGCTGAACCCTGGGCAGATCTGGGGTGGACACTGGAGGCCCGAAGGCTGCTTGTCTTCCTTCTGTGAGGCTTCTGCTTCTCAGTTCTCGCCCCTGGAGGGCGGCCGTGGGCCTTTGTCCCCAAGTGCCCCGCTCTCCATCTGTCCTCGCTGAGCGGCCCCTCTGGCCTCAGCCTGGCTCAGCCGTGTGGAGCTCCTGGTTCGTGTTTTCCAGCTTCGTGTCGTGTTTGTGGGGGCCTCCTCTGGCCACGTTTGCCCCGCCCAGAGCCCCCCTCCAGGCCTTAGCTGGGAGGTCCACGCGGGGCAAACTGGGGTCTCTTCCCGGGGAGCTGCAGCTTACACGGAGCGGGTCTGTGCGGCCCCGGAGCCGGGACAGCCTCTCTGCCCAGCTGGGCGGGGGTGTGGGAGCACCGGTGGCTGCGGCTGTAGCCCTCGGAAGGAGCAGGCCCCCGCCTCCCGGGCCCGAGCCCCCTTCCCTCGCTCGCCTGGCTCTGCTCTCTCACTTCCGGGGCAGGGTCTGTAGGCCCGGGGCACGTGAGACCTGCTGTGGTCCTGCATGCACGGGGGCACCTTGCCCGCCACACCCCCTCTGTTTCCAGCTGCACACAGCCACACGCACTTACAGGGGCGAGACTCCAGGGGGCCCCATCGCTACTGCGTGGCTGTTTCCAGGAAGCCTTCCTGATTTCTCCTCCTTTCTCTCTCTCGGCCATGGCACCAGGCCTCCCCCTCGGTCTGTACGTCACACACCCCCGGGTCTCCCCCGGCAGGCCGCAGTGCCTGAAGGGCAGTATCCGCGTCTGTGCTGAGGACGGGACCTCCGCCCAAAGCCGGCTGGGTGAGGACGGTAGGGTGGGCACTGCCCGCCTCTCTCCCGTAACTCGAGGCAGTCGGGTCCTCTCCCTCCTTGCAGGTCCGGGGCCCCGGGGAGGGCCTCTGGCCTGGGCCCGTCCCTCCACCTCCACGTGGGAGGCAGAACACCACAGTGGCCGTGTGCAAGCCAAGAGCCGGCTGGGCTCAGGCCGGGCCCCCGGCCAGCCTCCCTCTGAGCTCAGGTCTCTGCAATGGAAAAACGCTGTCACCCTGCTCTCGGCTGAAGTTGCTGACACACCAGGCCCAGCTGGGGTTCCCGCCAGCCGCCTGGCGTGGAGACAGGCTTGCCCCCAGGCTGGCCTTTCCAATGACGCCTTTCAGAATACATCATGTTCCAAGCCTGGGCCCAAGTATTAATAACACCCCTTCCTTCCAGAAGCTGCCAGCAAACCGGGAGTGCCGAGTCCTGGGCATCCGACTCTGGTGAGGACCTGACCTGGGAGCCAGGACACCATGGCTGTGACACCCTGGCTCCTCGGGGTCAAGGTGTCCCTCTCCTCGGTGTCCACCCTGAGGGTCTTGTTGGCGGGGGGGGGGCCCACGGTCATCCAGATCACCTAGCGGACACAGCCTTTGAAAGTTCACCCCACGTGCAAACACATGGGAGGCTGTGGGTGAACCCAGCCAGGAGGCCCATTCCCATTCAGCCCCAACTCAGGTCACCCATTTGCCCACCCCCAGAGGGCAGGGCCTTGCCGCTCGCACACGGCTCCCAGGGAGCCCCCGGGACGTCTCCGGTGAATAAACACCCGGAACCGAGGAGAGGCACAGCCCGTGATGGCAAACGTTGGCTTTATTACAGACACGGATAACGGACGTGACCTGAATCGTGACGTCTTACAGCACCCAGGTCAGACAAAGCACGTCAGGGGACACGCGACGGGGACGGCATGCCACGGGTCCCGCGGTGCTGGGGAAAACCCGCTACAGGGAAACGAACCGACGCTCGGTCCAACTCGTTTTGGGGAGTTGGAAAAAGAAGAGGAAAATCCATCCAGTCCCCCTGAGGCTGTGGGTGGCCTGCCCTGGCCCGTGAAGACCAGCCCGGCTGGGCTCCTCTGTCCAGGTGGACAGGCGCCCCCGCCTCCGTTGCGACGTGCAAACAACAGGCTCCACTTTGAGTCCAGATGTTGCGTTGCTGCCACAAGGGGGTCTCGGGGTGGTACTCCAGGGGCCGGCTGAGCGGAAGAAGGAATAGAAAGCATGCAAGATGGAGTCTTCCAGAACCGTGGGAGCGGACAGGTGCCGTTGCAGACGCCGGGCCTCCCCGGGCCTCCTCCGGACGGGCGGAGGAGTAGATGTGCCCCGGCCTGGCTCCCTGGCTCCTTCTCCTGCAGATTTGCTAGCAGGACCACCTGCGGTCCCAGCCCCGTTTGGGAAAACGCCCCTTGTGGCACGGGGGCCTCTAGTGTCCGGGAGAATCCCACCCCCCCCGCCCCCGCCATCGGCCAAGTTCAGCTTGGGCAGGGTCTGTTCCTCCATCTCTCCGGAGCTCTAAATGGCCAATCTGCAGAGTCTGCCACCCCGGGATGGGAGGCGGGAGTGGGACGTGGGCAGAGCCAGCCTCGAGCACCTGGGGAGGGGGAAGAGCTGCAGGAGCGCTGGGCACTCTCTTCCCCCACCGTCTCCTTTCCTGAGGCCACCTCCTCTAGGCAGTGACCCCCGGAGACAAGGACAGGAGAGGGCGGCCTGCCCCACAATGTTGGGGTCCTGCCAGGGAATGTGCTCACCCTGACCGGTGGCCCTGGTCACAGGGCCCCTGAGCAGGTGTGTGGGCCACCTCCCAATGAGCACTCCTGGCCCACGGCCACCACACTTGCCAGGCGGGCCCAGACCGGCCAAAGCTACCGCTGGGACGTTGGTCCGATCTCCTCACAACGCTCGCAGTACTGCCTTATCTGTCGCTGCAGCAGGCCGGGACCAATGGTTGAGGTGCTGGGGGAGGCGGGCCGTGCCCACGGGCAGATTCCTTTAGGGCAGTTAAGGTCACGGGAAATCCAAAGTGCCCTCATAGCTTTGGAACACCGAGGGACTTGGTGATGCTACTCTGGGTACGGTGGATGGAGAGGTGAACAGGGCGGATGGACTGAGGCACGGCTGTGTGGGTTAGATCGGAGAACGGACAGATGACGTGTGTGGTGTGTATAGGGGGGACTGGTGGAGAGGCAGGTGGTGATCGGGTGGAAGTATGAATGGGGGAGGGCGGAGTCGGGTGACAGCTGGGACACAGCAATGGATGGACACGTGGATGGGCGGGTATTTGGCTGAACGGGTGAGTAGGTGGGTGGACGCGTGGGTTGGGAGATGGACGGGTGGATGGATGGCTTGATAGGTGTGTGGGCAGGTAGATGGGTGGGTGGGTGGGCAGAGGGAGAGGTGATGGATGGATGGCCTGGCGGAGGGCCAGGTGGCTGGATTGGTCCGAAGAGCGAGCCGGGGAAAGAAAAGAATCAAGAGACAATTGTAGGTTGGCTGCGGGGACGGGAAGAATGATGGCCAGACAGGCCGGCTAGAGCAGGCTGGAACGGTGAAGGAGCTTTGGTGTCATTTTGAGGATGCGTTTGGGAAAGCTGGCAAACAGGAGCAGGGCGGGGCCTGTCCCGATCCCTTTCCACCACTGTCACTGGGATGAAACCAAACCCTAACCCTCCCGGCCCCTCTCCTGTTCGTCTCCTTCTGCCACTGAACCACTAAGGGGCTTGGATGAGGGGCCCCGCCTGGGGGGCCCCGGGGAAGCCCCTTGCCTGGGCGTCTAGCTCCTCTTGTCCTACGGCCCTGACCCTCCTGGACCCCCAAGGCTTCCCTTCGGTCCTGGTGAGCTGTGGGGATGGACACCCTCTATTCAGATGGAGCCTGGGGGAGGGGGTGCCCACCCGCTTACACGTGGGATGGGAGGCACTGTCACCCCCCAGACATCACCTGGGGACGGTGACATGTCCTAGGATGGGAAACAAGGAGACGGAGGAGGGGCTGGGAAAGGTCGGGGGGTCACGCTGGGGGGTGGCAGAGAGGGTCTAGGGTGCCAGCATCCACTCTGTTGTCCCCTCACCCCCCCCAATCCGTCTATCGTACGTGGCTCGGCGCTATGGCCTGGAGTCCTGGCTGCCACCCTGCCTGCCCGCCTCAGTCTGCCTTCCTGTGGGAGCTTTGGTCTCAGAACAGCAGAGGTGCCGTTTTGGTTTGATTTGGGTGGAAGGAGGCCGTATGAGAAGCGGCATCTCCCTGAGCTCCTGGGTCACCCGCGTGTCGTGTCTAACCCTGGCGGTGGCTGGCGGGAAGGAGCCCCTCGCACGCTGCGCTGCGGGCCCATGGTTTATAAGCTCGGGAAGCGGCAGGGCAGGACAGCCGCTGGGCAGAGAGCAGGAGGCTACACCTGCTTGTGTGCGGGTCCCCTCTCGGCACAAGAGAGGCAGGGGCACAGCCGTGCCCTGGTCCCAGTCCGACCCCCAATGCAGAAACTCCGCCTGCCCTCCTCCTCCCCGAAGCCAGCCGTCCGTGTTTGGTTCCGCGGCGAGGTCTTTGGCTGAACGCGGCCTGAGCACAGTGACCCACAGGAACACCAGCTCCCAGGGCAGAGAGGGTGGGAGGGGCTGTCCCGTCTCGGACCCTCAGCCTGTGGTGTGGCTGGGACACCACCGGCTGCCAACATGCTACTTTCTCCGATGTGTCTCCTGATCCCCAAAGGGCGACCTCGTGAGGGGGAGGGGAACAGGCTGGCTCCTCCATACCTCACCCCAGTCCTGAGGTCAGGGACACGCGTCATCGGGGCCTTAGATCTGCCC